ATAAAGTAAAAGTAAAACTCAGTCAACTGCTATCCATAAGGAATATAAGAATGGTAGCTGTCAGCAGGAACAAAGCGTCAAAAAGATATTCGGTTTGAGTGAAATTTGAAACAAAAAATGGACTAAAAAGTTACACATACATAAGTAATATAATCAAAAAATTGTATTGGGACCTTTCGGACACCATAAATGCCATCTTAATCCAATATTTTCTTTGGATCAAGCAGCTCAGTTGCTAGAAAATTGAAAAAGCGATTTTCATGTGCTGCATCGGTGGATGAAAAGATTAATTCCATATAAGTGTTTTAAATTACTTTAAAAGGAATAGTTAATGAATTTTAGTTTATGCTTAAGAATTTTTTAGGGAAATAAGAAGCCTAACTCTAGATTATTTCACTCAGAACTGTTGACTCGTGAGTCATACATATACCTAAATGTGTGATTCATTAAATAAACTAATAACCTTTTACTATAAAATAAGATAATAATACTTAAGCATTTAAGGTAATTTAACAAAGTCCGAATATCCTCCTTTAAGGATAACCATACGAGAATGTATATATTCGCAGAATCTATTATAATAAAACTATGTAGCGATGATAAAAACGGTAGCATATAGCAGCAAGTTAGATAGTGATAAATTAAATTTGACTCAATCGATAATATGGAAATTGGCATGTAAGGCAAAACTAAATGAAGTGGATGAATACAAAATATCTGGTAATTCGATTAGGGCAATAATAAGAATTTGAAGGTGAATGAACCTACCTGCCAACTAGAATCTGTGTGCCGATAGTAGGCAAAATTGTCAGTTATCCATCCATAAATGTCCGACAATGTTACTTTAGGTTTTCCGAGCTCAGTCATTGCCAGGCAAATTAAAGTGGCATATGAAAATGGAGGTTTTCCTGTCCATTTTGTGCGATATTCCAATCTAACTTGAGGATCAAGGAGGCTACCAGCAAATGGCTGAGAATTCCTGATGAGTTGAAACGAATCTAATAGGTGCAATTTTATAAAACGATCTTTAGGTTAATAGGCACTAGAAAAAGCAAATAACTTTAGTATAGGATAAACATTTTTGAATCGTATCATAATTAGATAAAGAT